AAGTTTAAGGGGTTCCCAGATTAGAGATTGTGATTATATAAATTTACTGCAACCATCTGAATTCAAGGCCACCATGCACCATGCCAAATATCTACTAATTCAGATAATGGGAAGAAGAAACCTTGAGTTACCTCCTGAGAATATATAAAAGTCCCTGACATTTTTGTACTTTTTTGCATGGCTTGTTGTCTGCACTAAAGAGTCTAATCTAGCTAAATTGGGTCTATGAGCCTTCTGCCAAGTCAAGCTGAAATGTTGACTTAAGCCATGAAGTGTTAGGAGAGGTACAATTTCCTGCCTAGTTCTAATCTGGGAAGCCTAACATCTATTTTGAGACCATCCCTGGAATAATGTGAACAGTTCTGGTCACGATACCATAGGAAGGAGATTATAGGCTAAAAAAAAATGTAAAGAAGGGCAGGCTATATATATGAGATTGGAATAGCTCTTTTGTGAGGAAAGACTATGACAATTAGAACTTTTTATTTAAAATGAAGGAAAAGTAAGGGAACAGATGATAGATATACACGAACCCATGCATGGCATATATAACATTGAGAGAAAGCTATGCTTTCTTCCTCATGTTAACAATACTAGGTCATTGAGCTCATCTGTTGAAAATAAATGAAGGGAGATTCAGGAAAAACTTTTTAACATAGTGTGTAGGAGGACCAGGCTGTCAATAGTTACCAAGGTTGATACCTGTGTATTATCTCTGGAATCATGCATAGCCTTCAATACTGATTACTGGGAGGTTACAGTGGGAGGGGATTATCCTCTCCAGTCCTAGTTTCTGAGCTTCCTAAATGTATCTGGTTGGTCACTATGTGATATATATTCTTGTATTCAGTAGGTCTAAGGCTTGATCCAAAAGGGTTGCTCTTATGTTCTTATGAACTAGAGCAGGATTTGGAAATTCAATGCTGTATCACCCCCCAAAATAGTATCTGCACCTCCATTAAGTTAAAGTTAAATAAAAGTGGCTGAAATTTCACAGTATCTTCAACTATGACATTTTAGTTATTTGCTCTCACAAGTATCAAAATATCTCCCATGGAACTGAAAAAGGTTTCTGATTCTCAAATGAGATCTTGCAAGATCTCAGGGTGGATGGCTAACATCTCATGAAATTTGGTGATTTCATAAGATATGGGATGATTTGGAGAGTAGGGCAATTGTCCTGAAAAGTTTACCATTTCCTGTTCTATACTGCCACAGTGATTGCATAATGAGACTTGCTTTTATGAATTCTGTCTCTAGAATACCAGTGATTCAAATTGTAAAGTATATCAAAGTATCATCTTTTTCCTTCTAAGTCTTTTGCTCAGTTATTGTTGCTATATGTCACTTCCCTTCTGGACAAAAAGTAAGTCCCAATACTGTGTAAAAGAAGCTTACGTGGCTTCTGTATCAAATCTTGCCAGCAACAAGCCAATTTCTGTTTGAGTCAGAAGATGAAGAAGTAGCCATAATGACCAGAGAGACAAGCACCCAAGGCAAAATATGGCTGGCAGATTGCTATTTGATTCATTAATGTGTAAGGTATACAACAATAACTCAAAGCTATGGAAAATGATTTACTTGATTTCTGATTTTTATGGCCAAACACTTTTTTTTCTAAACTGCAGTTGCTAGGTTTGAAAATGCTTAGGTTCCACTACAATCCTAAATCATTCTTGGTTGCACTTTATTTAGTTCTGTTATGAAAAAATTGTAATAGGTGTGGCATGTCCGGCAGTGACTTAGACTTGTGATGGAGCTGTCACAGGGCATGCTCATCACATAATTAATTTAATAAGTAATCAAACTTCCTATCTGCAGTCTACAAAAGATAGAGGAGAAAGGGCAGTATCCCATGCACATATGTGATTTTACTAACATCCTGACAGCATAGTGTTGGAGGTCCAAATCTGAGTCATCAGTACTTGTAACCTACCACCCATAAGAAAGCAGTATGGCATAGATACTGTAGAGAGTTAGAGATTTACCCCATGTCCCCTGTTTATTTATCACTCTGTCTGATCATGTCTAAGAGATTACTAATCTGCAGTCACTTCTTTCTGCCCCTCTTTCCCAGGCACACATGCATAGAATACATGTTCTTGGACTCTTCTGGTAGAATGTAGCTAGCAAGATGCAGGCCTTGTCTATCTCTGTAGTGTATTTTCTGCAAATATGTCTCCTTTCTGTTGTAATTGCAAACCCTGCTTTGCTAATCATTTCTCAGGTCATATTCCTGCTTTTATGAATAGTCTCTCTCTCTCTCTCTCTCTCTCTCTGTCTCTCTCTCTCTCTCTCACACACACACACACACACAGAATGCTTCAGCTTCCAACATATTGTGTACATCTAGGCTTTGCACCATCACACTAACTGAGCAGTTTAAAAACAGCAAAAACTTTATTTTTGTGTTCTGGTCTTCATTTTGGTAACAATAAAGGAAGGCTGATAGCATCAAAGCAGAAGTTCTGTGTTTTAGATTCATTTGCCATGTAGGTCCCATTTTCTCTCTCACCTGCCACAACCATGGTTTTAGGCTGGCCAAACATTATGACTGTACTTGCTGTTTTTCCATCTGGGATAAATTACGGGATAATGTAGCATTCATGTAGAAATTGCTTTTGATTTTCCTGCTTCAGATTCAATTCCCTTCCCATTGGCTAAGCAATATATTTGTATTTATTGATGATAATATATCACAGATTTAGTCGACATATCAACATCACATTTCTACAAGTTGTTTCTATGATTTGTGAATAGTAATATTTTCCCATTAATATTTCAGTGCATCAAACAAAAAATGTACAATAAATTCCTTTCAGACACATTTTAATTAGTGAATTGTTATAATTAGATATTCAGATTTTTGTGCATTTTTAAATAAAGTTCTAAATTTGAAAAACATTCCCCCCCCCCCAGAAATATCTCAGGATCACTGTTACAAACTTAGAAGCTTTAAAAGTTATCATGAATTCATTTGAAAAAAATTGTCCCTTGACCACTTTTTTAGTTCATAGATTTATTCTTACTCTTCCCACTGTCACAGTATCTTAGCTCAGGGTGAGTGGTGGTGAAGAGATGATAATTCATTCTGTCAGCAATCTGGAGGAATGCTGTTGCAAACAGTGCTTTATAAATGGGTTACTTATCATTCATTTCATTTTTTCTCCTGAAAATAAAATGTGTGAGAAAATGTAATCCAGTTCATAGATTTAATCTAGTATTGTTAATAAATGAATAATGAATTGAAATAACAGGCATGATCTCTTCCCTTTCCTTTCTAATACTCTATCAGTCAGCTTTTGCCTGCTTAATGAAAGTTTACTCTTTAAGTCAGTGATGGACTTCTCAGCTTGTTCATTTTAGCAGAAAGCTGCTTGCCATTACATGGATGGTTCAGATCTTTAAAACGGTCATCACGTATGACATGAACATTTAAATGTTATGGCACAGAAAATAAGGCTATTACCACCCTGATGTTTAGGGCACTGGAATTTGAAAGCTTGAGAATTTTCTAAGTATTGAATTTTGTCTTACATTTAGAAATGTTTGTTATAACTAAAATGGTACACAGGATTGTCCTGATTGGAGAATAAACCACAGCCTTACAGAGCTTCTTTAAAAAACTGAATATGCATGCTAATCAAGCCTAAGTAATGTGGCACTGGAGGAAGGGAAGCAGAGAGCTAAGCAGAAGGCAGAGGAGTGGTGTCACCATGACAACCTAGCTATAGTCAGGCCTACAGGGTTTTCTTCCAAAGTGAGAAGGATCTGTGTCAGAGTGTGTGGTTTAAGTTCATGCCGTATAACTGCATTATATACTACAACAGGACTTACAGTGAAAGAGAATAGGGCTATAGAGAATAGTATATCCTAATTTCTTTTGATATAAGCCCAACCGACAGTGCTTCATCGTGTAATGTCATGCTACTTCATGAATAGGATGGGCACCTTCTCCCAGCTCCATTCCCCAGGAAGTGTTGTGTGCTCTTTGGCAAAGGGGTATTAATCATTTAATTTTTTTTAAAACATGCTAAGGTATAAATGTCTGTGTTTATGTGTCTATGCATGTGTGTATATGTATATGAGAGCATATATTGGTTTTGCTGAAATTTCAGCTAAATGGACCTACTTTTCTGAATTTGTGATTTGGAGGATAAAAATAGAACTGATTTACTAAACTTGCCAGATGAATAAATTTGAACAGTCTTAATATGTTTAGATTTTAAATTTATCATTGGGTATGAAGCTCTAGAGTGAAATAATATACTATGCAAGGGGTTAACTTCTAGGTATTTTCAACACTATAAAAATAGATGACAATCTGAGATGTAAACTGTAATTTTTAAGTACTGTAGGCTCCAGATACAAGTTTTGGCTTTTGTCACAAGAGGGCAGTATCTGTATTTTAGATGCACTTTATTTCATGAATATTATTTTCAATTTGTTAAAATATTTCCTGTGGCTAAAAGAATTAGCCTACTTAATTGACAGCATTCATTATTTTGATGTAATCACCTACAAGATACCATATCTCATCACTATTACATTAATATCAGTATAGTTCTTGGTCTTTGGCTGGTGAACATTCAGTAGCTGCAGGATTAGCTTGCAGCTTGTGTGCTACTATAAGTTTTTGTAGAATTTCTTTTTCATCTACTGGTTCAGAGGTTTGAGCTGAGAAAGTAAAGACTACTATAGCATCAGGGCTTATCACAGAACAAGACATAAGCAAATGGAAAATAGCAACTGTGGCAAATGGGAGATGGGCCCACTGAGAATATGCTCCTAATGGGCATTTAAATCTAGAGCCAGTGATGGGTGATCTAGAAATGAATCTTTTTCCATTTTAATTAATAACAATTTCCTCCAGCTAGTGATCAAAGATATTTACAAAATTAAGTTTAAAATAATAACAAATATTTGATATGTAAGCGTTTAATTTTTCTAGAGTAAGTTGTTCAATTAATATTATTGTTGTTGTTACTTCTTTATTTTAGGTGTCCAACCCCTGGTTGTGATGGCTCTGGACACATTACTGGGAATTATGCTTCACATCGAAGGTATGTACAAAAATGAAATTTTTTGTGATGGCAATTTCCAAGAAAAGGACACTAATAGCAGGTGGTTTCAAATCATCACATGCCTTTCCTACAATGACTGCACTTAAAATAAATTCACAACAGATACAATATAGCAATTAAGGTCATTATAACAATGATTAAATCTCCAAAACAATTCAGCATTCAGTTCCAAACAATTAATTACACTATAAACAATTAAACTCTAATATGATAGCATTAAATCAAAATCACAAATAATTTACCTCCCTAGCAAAAATTACTAGCAAAACAAATTAAGATTCCAGTATAATAGGTTCTTAAATGCTACATATTCCCACAGCAATCAGATACAGAAAAAAATAATCAGCAACAGTCAAATTAAAATGCAATATAGATTTTAAAGTGCCTGAGTCAGAAGTAGACAATAAAGGTAAATCTTTCCACCACAGTTCAATATCAATAAATAATCAGCAGCCTGTTCCATAAAAGTACCAAGTATAGAATATAGCAATCATATTTCATACAAATACCAATATAGAAAAGTATAGGTGAAAGTGTAATTAGAAGTTAATTGAGGGACTACATACATTAAGTCTAGGCTTTTCCAAAAACCAGATTGCTGATTATTAAAAAACAAAGAAAGAATAGGAATATATGGGCAGTTTTCTAAGTAGCAAGAAGTAAGAAATCCTTAAGAATTAGTGTTAGGACAGTGCCTTTTAACTTCTATATGCATTATTTTGACTTAGCAATAAAGAGTGAGCTGGCTATATTTGCACATAATACTAAACAAATTGGGGCAGTGGAAACCAAACATGATTGTGAAGAGCTCCAGATGGATCTCTTTAAAACTGGGTAAACAGTCAACCAAATGGAAAATATAGTTCAATATAGACAGACAGACAGACAGACAGATAGATAGGAGAGAGAGAGAGAGAGAGAGAGAGAGAGAGAGAGAGAGATTGGACCCACTCCCCGCACAAACACATAGTGATGGGGTCTGGAAAAAAATGTTAGGATTATACTGGAAAATCCAATAAAGATGTTGATTCAGTGTGCGCAGTGGTAAAAGACAAATTCAGTGCTAGGAATCATTAAGAAAACAGCCTGGAAAAGAAATTGCAAACCTTATAATGCTCTTATACAAATAAATGTTACATCTGCCTCTAGAATACCATGTAAATTCTGGTTGCCACATTTGAAAAGTGCAGAAGGCAAACAGAATGATCAGAGGTCTCAAACACTTGCTTTATGACAAAAGGCTAGTGTATTTGGGACTCTATAGTTTAGAAAAAAGGCAACCAAGGATAGATATGATCAAGAACATAGAGATAGTGGACAGGAAAAAGTTTTGTACTTCCTCAAAACATGAGGAACTTCAGCCATCAGTTAGCCATCTGAAAGCTAACTGGAAGGAGCTTTAGAACAGACAAAAGAAAGTGTTTTTTCAGGCAGTGCATAATTTACCTGCATTCATAAGACAAGATGATGGCCACTAACTTGGATTCTTTAAAAGGAGATTGGATAAATTCATTGAGAACAGATCTATCAAGGGCTATAAGCCTTGAGAGTCATTGTTACCTCTAGGCTGGGGGCAGCATGTCTCCAAACATCAGTTGCAAGAGGACAATGGCAGGAGTAAGGTATATGTCCCTCTCTTGCTTATGAGCACCCCACAGCTTCAGGTTGGCTACTACAGGAAACAAATGCTGGAGTAAGGTGAGCCTTGGTCTGATCTGGCATTGCTGTTCTTATGTTCTTGTTATTTTTAAAAAATCCAGAGGCCCAATTGATGTGCATTTTTATGTATCATGGGGCTACAAGTAAAAAAAGTGTTTCTGGGTCAGATAATAGTAAGTATGAAATGTATTTATCTCCATACAGCATCATTTGCTGACCAGGGTGGAATAACTAATATTGTACAGATGTCACATAAAAGGATTTACATTCCTAGATATGGAAGAGTTTAACACAGATGCTGTTTTGGGTAGCAGATTTCTGATTCACATCATGTGTGGTATCTTTCTAAGTTATTGGCTCATTTTATAAACAATAGGCTTTTTATATTATCTTAACCATGTACAAGACATATGTGGAGGGGAACTTAAATTATACTTGCTGTCTCCACTAGATTCTCCACAAAATACATTAACTATGCCTGAAAGCAAAGAGGCTTTCAGGCATATCCTGTAGTTTACATCAATATGGACTATGAGAATATGCATTTTGCTTGGAACTGGATTATACCTACAGGTTCAATATAATTACTCAGGCACAGTCAACATGCAGAGATTGGTTGAAGTGGCATGTTGAAAGGGTTTATTTGGATTGCCATGAAATCCTTGCATCCCTACATATGGAAGAGTTTGGCCTAGATGATGCTGTGTATGAGAAGCCCAATTTAACTTTGATGTAAGAAACAAAAAACAAGTATTAGGAATGCATTTTGAATTGATAGCAGTGATGAATATTTACTTAGAAGTAAATTTCTTCTGTGAGGATAGAGGTTGGCGTTAGTAAAAGAGTAAGATATTTACAGTGCAGTATTTTTTACTTTGTGTTTTTGTTTGGCAAAGGAGGAATACTTCACAACCCTAGAAAAGTGTGATTAAATTATATTAACTGCAAACTGTACTTAACTTTCTGATTTTCTTGACTCAGAGTTCTCTGGAAATCAGCTTTGTTCTAACTTAAGATTTCATTAAAAAGACTTTTAATGCATAGCTATTCTTTTCTTGTTAGTCTTAGACCTGAGCCTATATTCACATCTAATGAAAGATGGGTTCCCTCTTGTGGGTGATTCTTGCCACTGCTCTTTCATTTAAAACCTTCGTAAAAAAAAAAATTGAAATCAAACCCTGCATGTCATTTGTATAGGATGTTCATTTCTTTAGAAAACTGTTGATTATATTTAGAAATAAAGAATTCCATTGGTTTTCCTTACTCAGCCTTTCTGGTTGTCCTCGAGCAAAGAAAAGTGGGATTAGAATAGTACAAAGTAAAGAAGACAAGGAAGATCAAGAGCCAATTAGGTGAGTATGGATGTGTATATGTGATTTAATCAGCTACATCTTCTGTCTCTCTTCTTCTTAAGTAAATAGTTGAATGGTAATGCCCCCTCCCCAGTATGTAAATGAAAATTTTGGTTAAAATTGATTGTTTTTAAGTCTATGTATCTATATCGATATATAGCCCCTCTCCAAGAGTTTTGACCAGCTAGCTTATTCAATTTCTTATCAAATAATTCTACCAAATAATAAACAAGAGAATTACCCAGTAAAAGCCAGAAGAAACTTGGTTTTGGTGAAGAAATGTAACCCACTGGAATATTACCCATTAGCACAGTGTACTCACAGATTTTTTCATGCCTGGTCATGGGAGGGAATTTGAGGAAAGTTTTCTCTTGTCATAGGCAATAGCAAGAAACTATGCTGGATCAAAGCCATTTTCTTTTTATGTACAAATGTTTGCATACCATTTGTTGTTGTCCCCCCCCACACACACACACACATCCCCCCCTTTTTTTTTGTCCAGGAAGGATTTTTATAAAGCAGCAATAAAGGTACAAAAGAACCATTAAAATACAGTGGGAAAGAGAAATATTTGAAACAGAGGGGCGCTTTTTGGTTTTTTTAGTAGAGTTTTTAGGTGGCAGAATACTGAAAATTAAAATCATCAATACTGTAGTTCTCAGTGCAATTCTAATTACTAGGGCTATGTTCTGATTCAGAATATAGTGATTTGGGGCATCTTTTTACTTATCTGAAACAAGTCATCTTATTATACAAATTACTCCACAGAGCATCACATGAATACAATATGTAGTTCAGGAGCTCATCCTGGAAAAGGAAGGATGTCATGTGCACACACAGAAAACAAAACAAAAAAAAAAAGGGGGGGGTAAAATAGACCCTGGTGAAAAAGGGAAATACTTGGCACAACTGTTCTGCCCTCAAATCAATGCACCCTTTATGACTGGTTACTCCAGCTCAGCTGTTTTGGAGGGTAGAAAGGGTAATAAATGTGTATATTTACACAGTCATTACTATCAGACTTCATTGCTGTTCAGACATGCTTTTTTAGAATTCCACATCTCTCCCCATTTTTCCTTGAACCTCATTCAGTCAATTTGTTTATTCTATCTCTTTCATTTCTTCTATTTTATTTCAACTAAATTTGAGATGGGTGGTTATATAAATTGAAATAATAAAATAAATAAAATTTCTCAGTTAGTTTAGTTATTCCTTCTCCCTCATTCAGTAATTTATTATGTTATATAAGCTTCTTTTTAAAAGTACAAATAAATGTAATGTGTTATTATTTATGTCTCTTCTTTGTGTCTTTTTTCAGTCACTAAGCAATGTTGTCCCACCATCCCATATTTAATAGGGAATGTCACTCCACTCCTTTTTTTTCAGATGTCTTATACATTATTTCTGTCCTGCATCATTCATAATACACATGCTAATGTCTTAAGGAAAAAGTGGAAGAGTCATGTCTGATTCTTACTTTAAGGAAAAATCATGCTCTCTTGTCCATAAAAGCAAATAGCCAGTATTTAGCAATAGTATTGGCTAGGAGTCTAGAAGGTTGCAGTAACAGGAATAATGGTCCTGCCACCATTACCACCCCTAGTCAAACAATGGTTTCACTTGAAGGGGGGAAAGCTCTTCTGTGGCAAGAGTGGAACAAGTAGTGGTTGATGTTTGCAGCAAAAGGGGATTTTCTGTATTGAGGATTCTGTCACAGTTTCTTGGACCCATATCTAGTGATGCACTTGGTTTTCCTAAAGGTTAACCTCTTACTCCCCAACTTTCCTAATCTTTCACAGTAAGCACCAGCCAACCACTTCTCGTGTGTCACTGCCAATGCCTCTTCTGTTTTTCCTACGTTGTATTCCTTTGAATTCCTTTTCCTTTTCCTTCTTTGGTTTATTTTGTCAAGTGCCTACTTTTGCCAAGAGCTAGGCTCTTCTCAGTAGCTGCTGCCTCCTGCCTGCTTTTGCCCAGACCCAGTCTACTTGGCTGCTGTACAACCTGTCACTGTCCCAGTGTCAGCCTATCTCCTCAGTGGAATATATCAGAAGTATACTCTGTTCAAGGGAAGTTGCTTTTCATTGCTGCTTCACTTTCCCCTGTTTAAAAATTCTCAGCATCTTTGTATGACTTCAGTGCAGTAATATTGGCCAAGCTACAATAATATAATTAATTGATTGATTGATTGAAAAATAAGGGTTTTTTTCCCCCCTTAAAAGTTTCACTGAATTTCTTTGCCTTCTTTCTGCCTACATTTTCTAGTGTGTGTTGCAGGGTACTACTTGAAGGTTTTGACTCTCCTACTTCTAATGTGGGGATGCAAAACAATGAAATATTCTGAATAAGTAAAGGTATAGCCAGCAGCACTAAGTACCTAGAAAGTTGTGTCACAATGGGACAAGGGAATTGCTGCTGCCTATTTTCCCTCTGTTTCTTAGCAGAGTACAATTGGCTAAGCTGAAAGAAAGGAACACACTGTGTCAAAATGCGCTTCATAAGTTAAGAAAGAGAGAATAACAGAAATGTGATTATGGCACTTCAACTATATGAGCACTTAGGTGAATGATGCTTTCAGAGTGGAAAGCTACTGCAGCAATATTTTCTTCTCTCATTCAGCTTCCATTCATTTCATTCACTTCTACAGTAGTGTGGTTTCATTTAATACTCCTCCCCTAAAAGCCACTCAGCACCTGATCTTAATAAAGAATAGATGAGGAAAGACATCTGAAAATGTATTAACAGTGCTGCATGGTTTCTGAGCATTGGATCACAACACAGTGCTATGATGAAATATCAGTCTAGTTTCTTCCTTCATAATTTCCCCATGGCTTTTGATATGTCAGCTACTGATTGGACAATGCAGGGATAAACAGAACAAGGGCTGGTGTGGGCCTTCCGGGCTGTGTGGCCGTGTTCTGGAAGTTTTGTTTCCTAACATTTCGCCAGCACCTGT